CCCCCCCCCCCTCTCCTAAAATTTTGGCTGGATCCGCCCTTGATGCATGGGGCTCATACAGTGAGGAAAGGATCCCGTTTTAGTTGCGCAATGACTAGTTTTATCACGATGGTATTGGTAGTGATGTTACCCTGGCCAGTCAAAGACGCTTTCTTTCTTTTTGGAACCATACTTGGAACTAAGAGCAGCCGTGGGCGAGGAATGAAAGAAAACAGGTTTAGTTTTTTCCCGCTTGCGCTCACTTTACCTCTAGGATACTTCATAGATAAACGCATACAAAAAGACAAACCTCAATATATAGTATTTAGAGTACATGGTGATGGACGTAGTGATCATAAGGAAGTACAATGAAAACCATTCAAACCAGTTGATTTTTTTGCAGCTAAATCAAACGCGCGGCAATATTAGAAAAAAGTAAGTTCGACAACTCTGGAAATTTCTGGAAAATTAACGCAAGAATAATATTATATATAATAATATCCAATCTTGGTTCCGGCACACTAATTAATTTGTCAAAAATTCAGTGGGTGGTTGTTGACTCGAAAGTTTTAACTCTTCAACAACCACACACACGAACTTTTCTATCATTTTGTAACTATATTTATGTAAAACTCTATATCTTATTAATAAGTTATTAAGCTCTTTTGCAAATTAATATTATCATTGTCAAGTGTGTGAATAAATAAAGTCTGAGTCTATTTTAAAACTTATAATTGGCATACATATAAAGAAAGTAAAGAATTTACAGGGTAATCATAATAGAGTTTCATCAAGATTCTAAGATTATAGTCCAGTTTAATCGTCATGGTAACATATAATCCCTTATAATATTATATCTTCATTTTACCCATATTTGCAAGTAATTCCACTAATCATGAGTTTGGTGAAATTTTGTGATTCATGTAGGAAAAAGAGTAGTATGCACTGTTTACTAATTTGTATTGAAATTGCAATTCCAAAACTTATCAGGAAGATCGAGCAACATCGTAAAGTTCTTACTGCTTTCCTAAGACCATCATTGCTTTGGACGTTGGCAAACAAGCGGCAAAGGCTTATAGACAAAAAATCTCTCTTTTGGACCAATATATTGATGTGTAAACACTGTGTTTGGAAAAATTTCTCCGGTGGTCATGACTACAAAGGATTCAAAATCTCCCTCAGACTATTGCAAAACATGCTAATCTATTAGACCAAAGAACCGAAAGGTGAGTCGGCCCATTGATAAAATCCAACATATAGGTCTTTAGGGCTTAAACTTATTATCCAAATGCCTTAAAACTACATAGCTTTGGTCAGTGGTCAGTATAGCACCATATATGTCGATCCAACATTACAATTTACCTATCAAAAACACAAACAAACAGTAACTGTGTAGTTGCTTGTCCTCATGAAGAACTGAACGATTCCACTACAAGATTTTTGCGCTAAAAAGTTGCAAATACTTTCACAAACTTTAAAATCAACATTCAATTTTTTGATAACGAACAATATAATAATACAAGTATAGCTTTTTCAATGGCATTCAATCATTAAATGATCCACGAGGTCAGACGAGGATGTAATACTAATAGACGTATTTACTCATCCAAACAACCTCGTTAAAACCTTGAATAGCGCTTGTTGTGTTAGGGAGAAGCCATCAACGCTTTCAACAGCTTATTTATCYCCCTTGAAAAAAGAACTGAAGTGTTAACTACGTGTTATCATAACTTACTATGTTCGTTGACTTCTTCAGAGAAGACATAGCTGTTGCTCGAAGCTTGAATTTTGTGCATGTTTTCAGTCGACGATTCTTTTCACCGATCAGTCCCTTGGCAACAGTACTACAGTACAGGGCATTACAGTATTAGGAAACTGGAAAATACAACTCGAAGCAGCATTCTAGGTTCTTTCATTCGCACATTCAGAGCAAAATACTTGTTTCTACCACAGCTTTAATGGCTTATTATGAATTTATTGAGGAATTATAAAATCTAATAAGCTTCGTCTTTTGTTTACCGAAGATTATGAGAAGTTATAAACTGCACTATGATGCAAAAGGGACTGGACTCTTTTGTTCTCCTGGAATTCTTAGTTGTTTGGCAGTGTTCGGCTCTTTTCTACTATTAATATGTACATAGATTATGTTAGATTTTAATTATGTGTAAAGAAATACCGACAAAGAATACTTTCTTGGTAAATAATCCTTAGCATTTATTGGTTTGTTCCTATACGTGCTTGTTTTCTGTGTCTTGAAGTGTCATCAGTTTCTTTTATTTGGACAGTACCCTCAATGACTCCAGGAAGGGATTTATAAGAAAGGTTTAATGCTAACGAGATCAGTATGTCAACTGGAATTAAGGCATTTACTCCGAGTTGAATGATATCCAATCTTTGTTCACTTGAAAATGAATTTACTAAAAAATTGAATCTGGAATTCGTTTTCACGCAACACTTTTATCGCAAAATAGATACGAAATGTGATTGTTTCATACTTATTTCGGGAAATTTAAGGTCTTTAAGCAGAGGTTGGCCGCTTAATGGAGTTTTACAGCATAGAATGACAATATAATGATGATGCTATGATGATGATGATGATGATGATGATGATACTTATTTCGGGAAATTTAAGGTCTTTACTGAGGTTGGCTGCTTAATGGAGTTTTACAGCATAGAATGAGAATATAATGATGATGCTAAGCTGCTGTAAAAGAAACTTATTTAATGCTTTCATTTTATTAGGAAATATATAATATCAACGTGCTATCATGAGTTGAGAGACACGTGCAAAATGAGAGATTCTGCATGTAGCATTGTAAATCTCGGAATTTAAAAACGCCACCTATGTTGGAAAAGGCGTACTGCGTAGCCTAAACTGAAAACCATTCATTGCGAACCCAAACTAGACCTAGCCCCTTGCGCACCTTTAAAATAAAGAATTGTTTGCTAAAATTCTGCAGAGTACGCACAACAAACCTATGGAAAAAGTACCTACTAATTAGCGCAAAACAGTACGTACTAATTAGCCATTCAAAACAATAGGATTTTGCACTATTTACTTTTAAACATTTTCACTGGTTTACTGCATGCACTTTCATTAGTTGTCCACAATTTAAAAAAAAATTATTCAATTATTATTCATAATATTCAATATTCTTCAGTTATTGGTCAAAGTTTGTTAGATCTAGAGGTCTGGAATCTTCACATTCAAACATTAATCTTATTTAACATCTTCCCACAAACTTTAAAACTTAATAGGTGCTCAAAAATTACGAATTTTGTTTACTGTAGCTCGGTGCTTATCTGTCTGGGAATTCAAAACGTATAGTAACAAGCTTTTGGTTTCGGCAGTGCATCATGGGGTAGCTTGGGGTCAAATGTTTGGTTTTATAAAGGTAAAAAAGAGGATAGTTTTATCAAATGTATTCTCTGATTTCCTTATCACGTCATTCCTTGCTGAAGGACCCCATATCATCCTTAAAGAATTGTTTGGATTGTGAAATTAATTGTATTGATGAAGCATATCATTGGGCAACATCACATGCTGAGATTACTCCAAGACATGTCGTATGGCCTGTTGACAGAAAGAAAAATGTTAATAGTTTGGCAAGGCAAGGCAAGGCAAGGCAAGGCAAGGCAAGGCAAAGGCAAGATTTCAGTTTATTCCTTTACCTTTCAGTTGTCGAAGGTTTACCATGTCCTCCTTTATAATCATGCGTCGTCATGGACTGCCAGTGAAGGGCAGGTGTTTGGGCTGTGTAATGATATAAAAAATACTTAATAATACCTCAACTACAATACACAATTTCCTCCGTATACCTCTTCTTCTTTGACTGAAATGAAATCAATCTTGATCCCGCGTGCAACCTTGGAACAACCCCATGGTCTGATCAAAGTCAGACTATGGGTAACTCACAGGTCGAACCCCAACCTGAGGGTTGATTTGAGCTAGGGCCCGGCCATGACAACTCACAGATCAAATCCTAAAACAACCTCTAGATGCTTGACCAACCCTTCTTTAAAAAATATAGAAATGAACCGATAAAAGGAACGTTACATCTCACCTTTTGAATCGGGCCTAAATCTATCAGGTTTCCATGGGTTACGTTGCTTATAGTTTTGCGGAACTACAAGGCAAATAAAAGGAAATTTGATCATTCATACATGAACATGTGATGTACCTGTTACGGGCAATGTTGCAGAAATCGAATAAAGCTACCTCTGCATGCGGCGTTGCATGCATCATGCAACGGATTTCCTCGTGACACAACTGGCAACACTGCATGGAATATTGTGATGTTTTCAGTCAAATATATAAAGAGATTTTTATAACAACACTGCTGGTCAGTATTCAGTGTGCGTTGTGTGCCCAAGTAGCTTTTTCTTCATTTCTAGTTTTGCGCAGGAAAACTTGCTACATCGTTTGATATCCCTCAAAACATTCGGCAAAAGTCACCAGCAATTGTCCATTTAAGACTATGCAATACTTACCAAGCGGTTTGCCTTGGAATGTCGTATTATAAGTGGTGGAAAACCACCGATGTTTATCAGTTTGTAGTATGTTGACAGGAGCTGACTTGACTTCACGTGGAGCTTCAGCAGCAACGTCATTCCTCCACACTAGATATGTCTGTCACAAGTAGGAACAGAAAGAAAGCTAATGCAACGACAAGAACTAATCTAATTCGTTTATTTCCTTATGTGGGGATCCATGTCCCAGAGCTTTATAGTAAAAGAATATGAATTGTTTTATAGGAACAGAGAAGATTGATGATTCAGATGGAGCCGGGTAGAGTCATACACTTAAATGTAGAAATGGAAAACAAATACTATGCAAACAGCCGCAAATACGGGAATTAAAAAGAGGTTTTGAGGAAGAGGAGTATTTAGGTGAAATGGAGTAGAAAAACTTTGCTTCAGTGGAAGACTGAAGAGGAATACCCGGAAAAAATGTTCAACATGGTATATCGTTTCCATGCATCTCATCATCGCCTCAACAAACTAATACGAAATCGCCCCAAACTCAAGCGCAGATTTAATTACCTTATCTGGATAATGCCATGGATCGTGTAGGCGAGGATGGGGATTATTTTTTCGATGGACAGAGATTGGTGTTGGTGCGCTGTGTCTGCTATATTGGACTGGAGGAGTCCTAAAGGTCCCTGCGTAGTGCGACCTTTCAAATGGCCATCCCCTAGGGAGGTGATCTGCTGTTCTCATTCTGTAAAGAAAATTATCAGTGCAAGTTCCATCAGCCTTTGTCTATCATATTATTTATTATATCATCCATTTAAAAAAACGTTAGATAATCGGCTGTCTTATCATGGTTGCAGCGTAACTATGTTGCGAGACAGCTAAAAGCTGCACCTACTAGGCTTGTCATCCTTTCTCGACCAGGAACTTCTGAAAAAGCTAGATAGTACGAAAAACACTCTGTAATAAACAGCTTTTATTTTTTTCACAGCGTCAGCAGGAAACCTGGTAAATTTTACAAGCCGAATTACGAAACAGCACTAGTGTTGTCTTGCTGTTGCAAGAAGTTTGCTGCTCGTAAACGTTTCATCGTATCACTCTCCACATAATGGAAAAAATTTTCGTAATTCCAGCCACATATCTGTTCTCTAGTTTTCACGGTGCTTAGAAAAAGCAAAATAAAACGCTTCGATTGTTGACAATCAGTGAAAAATAATAAGCTGTCAATCCAACTGAAAACGCCATGTCAGAACTGGGCAGTCCTCGTGAACTGAATGAAAAGTCGTGGGACATCCAATACTGTTCACTCTTGACCTTAGCTTCCTAGCTCCACATGAAATTTTAGACGCAAATTAAAACTATGTTTTTACTCCAAGATTTGTTAAAAAAGATGCCAGAAAGTTACGCTGATTTAAACGCATTTTTTTTTCCAAAAAAAGTTTTTGTTAAGGAGTAACTTAACCATATAGTTTGCATATGTAAAAATTCCTTCGACATATGCAAATAACGAGATGGTTTGTTTGGAGTTGTCTGGCTGTGTTGGATGTATATGTTGCGATATATATATTCTTTATTTTAAATACCAAGTTAGAGTCTTACCTCTGTGGCAAAGCCACGGATCCAGGCACACCAATATAATCCCTGGCATATGTTGTCCATGGAAAGCCTTTTCTTCTACCAGCTGATGCTAAAACAAAAAGCATCAATCAAATACACATGGTGATTAACAATTGACTGTAAACAGTATGGCAGCATAATGCTTACTTATTAAATAGTTATATAACTCAAAAACCAAGTAATAGTAGCATTAAGATGAAGATTTTAATCCCTAAATTGATGTAGCTTTTTCATCGTAACTTTTCTTATAGTACTGATAGTGAGAGACATAAAAACTTGGCTTGTCAATTGAAGATCACTTTCACTGCTTTCATCTCCATCYTCTCAAAGCATTCAAACATGCTATTCGTAAATATTATGATTAATCAAGAAATCTTTATGACCAACCTGAAGCAGGAGTCTCTGGTTCTGTTCCCCATGGAGGATTTTTTACTGTAGTTTTAACTATATCTCCAGAATCATCATCTTGTGTAAACTGCCGCATGATCTGACTGATCGAGTCTCTTTGCTATGACTTCAAATTGGACAACTAGTTTTTCCTTGTACTCGGCACTTCTGAATTTCACTTAATAAAACTAAGTTTAAGAATAAAACCCTCTAATTTTGGATGAGTTTCTAATATTATTATTAATAATAGAAAAGTCAATTGGCGCCTATATCAGTACTTCCAGAAGTGTTGTGACCAATTTACTCAAGATGCAACAAGCTTCATGATGCTAATTGGTTAACTGGTTGCTAAGCGATATTGGCTGCCCAGGTCATGCTAATGAGCTAGCGYCAGTCTTTGAATGCGGTGTAAGGACCACTGCCTGACCACTGGTAAACCTCTTGAAACACCGAAGTGTACCTACTATTCAATATATACCTTAATGAATTGTAAATGGGAAACTCTAACATCAAGCCAGAGCAACCCGCTCTGGGAGTAAATCAGAAATCTGGCCAGTCACATAGTCAAGTTGATATGTTCATGATGATATCTTCCTTTATACGTCACTAGGATTTCATGCTTTACAGATTGTCCAATTTTGATGTCTACTAAATCAATAAAATGGGGTCCTTATATAGAACCACTTGCGCGCTGATCGAGACAAAAGTCGCAACAGGGAAGATCGGAGCATCAGTCAAATAAATCGCTATTAGAGCTTGAGCTAGGTTCCCGTGTACCTTAACGTACTCTAACGAATTATTTGATTGACGGTAGTCTAGTGCCCGATTCCAGCGCGTAGCAATGAAAACAATAGTTACCAATAGAAAGAATCTGTCTTTTCATTTTTTAACTGTTCAGAACGCGCGCGCACAAGAACATTGCTTGGGTTGCCTGTGTTCCCGGGAGGGAGTCTCGCGACAAGCTACATTAAACAACATGGCGGATGTGGGTTGAGCACATAATAATGTCGAATAAATTTATACGCAAATAGCTTTGGGTTTTCAACTTTACGAGAGTATGTAGACGTGAAAATACATGCCAGAAGCTTCAGAAGTACCTTATTATGTCCGTAACTAAGAAACTAACGAAGGCAGAAGCAAGGTTAGTCGAAATAACCCAAAAATGAATTGGGCATTTGTTTTAACTTAAATTTGGTTCAATATTTCTTATTTTCACCTGTAAAAAATCATTCTTTTTGAAAATAAGGTCTTCATATTTTATTAATTGGGAGAGAAAATATTCGCTCTCCGTTTAATACTCTTTTTTAAGAAGGGGTTTGTAGTTTGACTCTGAAACATTATGGATTTTAATATTCTTAGACCGACTATAAAACATGTATAAGAAATTTATATTCAGGCATGAATTCCTGAATCAGACAATGGAGTAAAGTATAGGTTAGGTTATCGTATTCTAATTTTAAAGACATCTAGTGTAAATATATTTATCTTAGAAACAAATAAATCCTTGTAATATAATAATATTTTTGTTTTATTTTTTAGTGGCAGCAGCAAAGATAATTCAGAGACGACGCATTTGTATCTACAGATCAATGCAACCCAATGGCCTATAGTGTATTCTTCTTCATATAACATTGGCTTTCTTGGACTTGAAAGACTTCATCCGTTTGATTCTGGCAAGTGGGGAAGGGTGTTCAGCTTTTTAAAAGGTACAGTATTATCCATGATATTCATAATTATTTATAAATAAATATATATGGGATATACTGTATATGGGATGTTCAATCAACATCAAATTTATCGTGTCATTATAATTAAATATGATTTATCATTTTGTCACTTTGCTATGCATGCTTTGATTGGTTGAGAACTGTGCCATATTAGTAAATATAGCATGGTGCTAAAACCACTGTGTACACATGCATGCAGCTTTTCATTGCTTCTCCTAACACTTCTTTCATGTTTTCACCACTTCTTGTGTGCTGTATTATTACTGAATTGTGGAGCATAGGAAAACTGGTAATATGCAAGAATATAACCCAGATGCTGCCTTTAATTGACCAACTAYTTGTCATTTGTCCACTGACTATACTTCTAGTACTATCAGCTATGACATTTTCTTAAGAAACTGAAGGCCGCTCGATAGTTAGGCGATGGTGGACTGTTGATGAAGTAACAGTGGGATTTTGACTAAAATAGCCATAGCCAACTGTCAGTTGGGCATCTGGGATGCTGTCCTTGCATATTAATGGAAAAAACTTTCCTATTTTTTAATAGAAGCCGAGCTTATAGATGACAGTACTATAGTAGAGCCCAGGGAGGCAACAACAGAAGATTTATTGGTTGTACACACAAAGAAATACCTCGATAGCCTCAAGGTATGTGCAGCACTAATTAATTTTACTGCGGTTTTTAATATTCTGCGACTTCAGACATTTCAATGGCTTGTTGTGAAATTGGTTTTTTACTGCCGCCAGTCAAGAATATAAAAGGTACAGACTCATTATTTTTGATTGAAGGCACCAAAAAACCAAAGTTATATAAAACACATATACATTCATAAGTAGAGGTTCATGTATTGATATGTACAAAACCTTGCAAACCCACCATACATGGCACACATTGAGGCCCTGTTAGGGGTAAATACATGTATTGACAAGATGAACAACGGACCAACACTTTATCGATAATTGACTGACTGTCGAAGTGCATTGGCTGTGCATCGACTGACAACAAAACCCGAAGAAATGCCAAAACTTTCAACTGTGTGTTGGCTGATGGTCGGCCGATACACGGTCAACACATGGCCGATAGTTGGCTGATAGTTGGGCAGCTGTCGACCAAAAGTCGGGCAATAGTTAACTGACACATGTCGGGTGGTCATGAAGTATAAGATTACCATGACATTGTATAATGGACTAGCTTGTTTCTAACTTTAACTACATTTCTTTTTCTTAGTGGAGTGTAGTTGTTGCCCAAATATGTGAGGTACCACCAGTGGCCTTTCTACCAAATTTTGTTGTACAACACAAACTTCTGAAACCACTTAGATTACAGACAGGAGGCACAATCCTGGTATGTTTTTTGAACTCGGAGGAGGGTGGGGGTATTGCTAGTGGTAATAATTTTGTTGTAGAGGTGTGGAAGGGGCCCAGTGGGGGGGACTCCGGGGAAAAAGTACCGGGGATGCTTGTCGGAAATTTTCAAAAAGACCCCTAAAAGATACCAGAAATCTTTTAAAAAGGGTGTGGCTGAACGATTTTTAACCCTTAAGAGATAACATGACAAATAATATTAAATTTTATATAAAAAGCGCCTAGGATAAGCCATTTCAATGCGCCCTTCTCTCCTTTTCCAACACCCTAAGAGATACCAGAAAATGCTGATTTTCAAAAATTCACATTGACCACCCTAAAAGATACCAAATCGCAAACTTTTACCCTTAAGAGATACGACAAGCATCCCTGGTACTTTTTTCCTGGAGTCCCCCCCTCCCCCCTGGGGGAAGGGGGAGTCTTAAATGTATAGGGATTAAAATAATGGCTGGTCATAGGACAATGTCCAGCTAAAATTTGAACTTTTTTAGTCAAATCTTTCCATTGCTTGTCATTTTGACCCRTAACAATTTTAATTCTAATGACTTTTATTTTTTTTCTGAAGGCTGCTAAACTTGCTATTGAAAGAGGATGGTCAATAAATATTGGTAAGCAAAATTTAAAGTTTTGTAATTCGATTATATATCTGATCATAATTTTTGTCAACCTCCAAATAAATATTATCTACATGCTTAAATTTCTAGGAGGAGGATTTCATCATTGCTCAGCCAATAAAGGAGGAGGTTTCTGTGCATATGCTGATATTACTTTGGCCATCAAGGTTGATTTTACCAACAAATACTGTCTTTATACATCCAGCTGATATGAAATAGTGACATACTGTATCGTAGAAGTGATGCCAGTGCAAAACTGAGGATCATGAAGCCTGTGAAAATTGACCAGCAAAAAAATAGAAACATGCCCATGGACCATTACAATAAAATTTAATAATCACTGTTATCTAGTGCTTATTTTTTTCCTTTGGTGGCCTTGAAATCCACAATTTCAAGAGATAAAGTGACACCTCAGTTTAACATTTTTGCAGATCAGCAGGATGTACAGTAATCAGTTATTATGAAACTTGAGTTAGCATTATTATTGAGGAATAATAGAATATAATAAAATGTTCAAGAAATATTTTTTTAAATTTTCTTCATTTTTTAGTTTTTATTCAAATACTTGGGTGTTGAGAAAGCCATGATCATAGATTTGGATGCACATCAGGTTAGTAAGATTACAATAACATGTTTGGATCCATATTTCATCCATATTTTTAAGAGTATTTAAAAAAATGAGAATTTCTTTAAAAAGTTCTAAATAACTCCTAGAAAATTACATAATCTGCAGTCTGTAATGTTTAGTTGTCAGTCTAGAGAATGAAGGTTCGTTTAGGTAATAATTGCCTAAATGGTGCTGTGGTTCCCAACCATCTCAGTGACTTTGTGACAATGATTCAGTTATAGTGTGAAGCGCCGATTGAACTGCATGTGGCCATCCAACTAATTTGTTTACTAGTTAGCCAATCAGACAGCAAGAATTTGTGCATTTGTATGTGAACTCCTAAACCCACTCAGTGTGACTGCAAATATTTCTTTAATATTTCTTTCACACTTTTTGCAAAAAGTACTTTAATGATGGCTTAAAATTATTAAAGTATTTGTTGCRAAAAGTGTGAAATACTTTGTATTTACTCATTTTGGTCATGCACTTTTCTGGCTAGACACTAGACACTTTCATGAACAGTATTTTAATTGATGAARACACTTGGCAGGAAAGGATTCAGTGGCATTTTAGTTAAAACATAATTCATTGGGTGGCCACAATCAACAGACTGAGCTGTAAAATGAAATTAAAAGAAGTGTAATTACAGTTTTAATTTTTGATCAGGGTAACGGACATGAAGCTGATTTCATGGGTGACAAGCAAGTCTACATAATGGATGTTTATAATGCTCATATCTATCCAGGTGCCATGAGGGTAAAAAGTAAGCATATTAGCTACTATAAACTATTGCGATTTTGAGACGACAATACCATGAAATATTGAGGGTTAGTTAGGAGAAAATATATTCGGTTTTGGGCTTCGTAGCTTCAGGACTCCGCCCAATACCGAATATATTTTCTTCCAACGCCGKCAAAATTTTGTGGTATTGTCGTCTCAAAATCGTAATTAGTTTTGTATCACGATTCTAAAGAATTCAACACAAAAAAAGGAAAAACTGACCGATTTTCGTTGATTAAAAGCAAAATTCTCCTTCACGCGAGTGTTATGGCGCAAGCAACGAGCGTAAAAATTTGACGCGCGTGAGCTCAAGCTTTCTTTTTGTCATGTGTTAGCCAATCAGAAACCTTAATTTTAAAAGGACAATACCACAAAATATTGTCGTCTCAAAAATATAAGAAACTATTTGGTGAATCRCGATACTACAAATAACTATTAATAATAATCATACAATGGCCAACATAAATCCAATAAATCTACTTGTACACCCTTTTCTGCATAACGAGCCACAGCGAAAAAACTTTGCGAACAGCAGGGTTACCAGTTGCTAAGGTGTGACGTCATAATCTGGTTATATTGTGGTTTCAAGATCCTTTGATCCTAATATAATTTGGCGCGAATTACGAAGCAGAACGTAGATCAAGAATTCAACTACGATCAATGTGGCGTACTGGTCGAAAGCCTGCTGCTGGCTTGATGGAAGGCTGTTATCCAAGGAAAAAGAGATTTCCGCAACCTGCCGGAGTTTTTGCAGCACTTTTGAGGCAAAGGAGGGAAATACATCTTGAAATACAATAGATATCAAYGAGAATAGCAGACTTTTCGATTTCCCGCCAAACTGTGTTTATGTCCTAGTCAGGCACAACATAGTCAAGGCGTTTTGATGATTTTCTGTAAGGCACAGCGCAAAGGTCTGGTAAATGCTTATTTTTAAATCTATAAGTTACTAGTTATGTAGAACAACCCAGAGGTAAGTTTCTAATATGCGGTTCTCATGACTATCAAGGTCAATTTGATTTTATTCAGTATTAAAATTATTTTAATATACAACTGTGCCTGAGTGCTTCTGGCATATTGATTATGCTTAGCTGGTTCATCCAGCATGAAGTCCTGGTCAATTTTGATTTTTTAGAGCCTGAGTGCTTTGGGTATATTGAATTTATCTGTTCTCTATGCTTAGCTGGTTCATCCTGCATGAAGTCCTGGGCAATTTTGATTTTTTAGAGCCTGAGTGCTTAGGGTATATTGAACTTATCTGTTCTCTATGCTTAGCTGGTTCATCCAGTATGAAGTCCTGGACAA